AGATAGAACTGTCGACCGCATGCTGCAAAGAATTAAAAGACGTCAAGAAGAAGACGATGAAGAGGATATGGATTTTGTGCAGGATCAGCAACCTGAAAGCGATATTGAGATGGATATCGATGATGAAAAATTAAAAGATATGATTGATAAAGTAGCCCGTGAGTTGGATAGATTGAGCCAACCCATTGAAGAAGAAATAATGTTCAGCGTTGAAGATGATGACGATGATTATGAGGGTGAATATGATGCGGAAGAAAAAGAAGAACTGCAAGAAGCAGAAGACAAACTGCAAGTATATACTGACAAGGAAGATGATGTTCGTGCAGGAGTGAGGTTTGAAGAAGTCCCCATGTTGAGTACAACAGATGATTCAAATAAAGACAAGAAAAGGAGAACACGAAGTGGATGATCATTTTATTCAAACGGAGTCAAGTATCGACCCACAGATAGGAATCGAACTGACAGACCAAGACAACGTCCTCCAGCAAGGAGTCATCAGAATCGGAATCCCAGTTCACATCCGCAGCTGCCACTTTCTCTGCGTGAACAGGTCGGGCTTTGGTGGAAAGAAACATAGACAAACAAGTGCGAGGACCAAAGGCTTTGGCAGTTGCCTGTTTCAACATCCCTGGAATCTCAACTGGACAATATTTGGCCTGTGTCAGTTCCACAAAGTCGTTATACTTCAAGATCATAGTGAGATTCTCATCCTTAACCGGACCCACGGCCTTAATGCTGATTGTCCCGTTCTTAGCAGCCTTCTAATCGCTAATGTAGTGTGTGACCGCGCACCATGGGAAATCTTTCTTAGGGGTAGACAGGTGCAGCCATAATTGTAGTTCTCGATCCGCTCGCTTAGCTACCCTTGATCTGACGTAAACATGCCACATCATGCATCCGGGCGATCGTTCATTCCACTTGCTTCGGCCGTTGTAGGGAATGTTTACCCATTCGTACCACAGGCCAATAACCGTCTTCCAGTCAAAGTGTCGCATTAATTCTTTCTCCATGGCCCTGATGTTAATTTCCTGTGGATAGAAGCACAGAGCCCCAATCTTTTCAATATCGCCAAACTGTAGAACCGAGTCATAGCATCCCGCTCCATACCCTTGCGGACGCAATTTGCCATGTAGATATTGGCAAATCGTTCCTGCCGCCACCTCAACCTCAAAACCCACTCTCATCCTTGTACAAAGCTTCTTTTCGCCTGGCTTATTAGAAGTCGAGGCATATGACATGTTGCCAAAAGACATGTCCAGATACTTGGACAAGCTCCGATAATCGGGAATCAGCCGTCAAAGATCCGCTTCTGTTCGGATCCACTGCTTAGACTTCTTGTAAGCGCTGTCAGACAAGGAAAGAAAGCGAATCGTCTCCTCCGCGTTCTTTAGGACGTCTGCCAGCGTATCCAGAATATGGTTCAAGATAATAGAGGCATGGGTCGTGTTCCCCCCTTGTTGACCTTGATAGCTGTACGCCATTCCCAGTTCAACCAGGATAGCCTGACCATCCATGCCGTCCAAGTTGACTTGTTGCAGCCCATCTAGGCGTTCTTCCAATGTCAAGCTGCGTTGTAGTCTTCGTTTGGCCTTACAGCTTTGCGTCGTGGAAGTGATGTCCTTTTTTGTGCGGTTGGTGTGGTTGATTGTGAAGCAGACGCTGAATGTGTACGTTTAGCACTGGGTTCACTCAAAGAGCTCCCGTCCTTCTGTAGACGGAGCGACCACCGAAACCCTGTGGGACCGTCCCTTCTTCCTCGGCGGAGATGCCAATTTCAGGGTCCTTGTCTTCACCAGTAACACCGGTCAATTTGGAAACTGCCTCATCCGTATTCAGGTCCATGTTGTTGGTGTCTTCGCCGTTTGCAGTATCCGTAAGCTTGTAGAGTCCTTGGTCGACTCGTCAGTATCCTTGTCATCCTCCACCACCTTGCCCTTGTCGTCATCGTCGTCGTTGTGGGTGCGATCGCCACCAGAATCAAGTTCGCCGTCTATTTCCATGTTGTTGCTCCTGTCGTTTGAGTTGTCGTCAACTGTCTTGTCAGAGTCCCACCCATCAGGTTGGCCAAACTTATTGACAAGGCCAGTGTCCTCGTCGCCCATCGGATCATCTTCCTCCTCAGAATCTTCGTAATCAGGATCAAATATCTTTTTGACCCCCTTGTGAATATCCACCTTATTAGTTTTGTTGTTGGGAAATCCTGTTAGAAGTAAGCGATCCACTGCCGCCTGCAATCTACCTGTTCAATTGACTGCAATTTAGCTGTCCAGGTATTGTTGCCTTCTAAGTATGTGAATTTACAGTATATAGAAGTATATAGATCAATCAAAGATCCTACTTTATCAACCAATTCACTCGTTGCTTGCAAT